GTTCCACATTTTCGGGGGTGCCTATCCATGGAGACCACACTTTGACTTTGTTACCTTGTAGATCTTTGGCCTTTTTTCACTCCAACATTTCAGAGTTAGCCCATTTGGGTATTCCCTTGTCCTTTAATAAATTATTTATATTTAAACGCAAAGGGGGCAACGAGGCGACAGTATAATCTGCCGCTATGCACCGGTCCCATAGAGTCCCTCTTGCCCGCCATGAAGTTTAAGCGTCACTTGGGCTGGGGGGTCTTCTTATCCGGCTTATGACCGTACCATGTAAACCCGTGTTCATCTGGGTTCATATGTCTGTATGTATCAATAAGACTTTGTGAGTGCAAAAGGATAATAACAGCAGGCTGTCCTGTCTCAGTGGTGTTGCTAGAGACGAATCCAGACCCGGGTTGATGGTGGCATTCCAATCCCCCAACATCGCTGTAGCACTAAAGCCTGAAAACTGGGGTTTGTCAGGATGGTCCCAGCATCTGTTCTAGATATCCAATTTGCAATGTCTCTTGTTGACAGGTCCTGAGTCAGTTGAATGTTTGACAGCGAATCTCATTTTTGCAGAAGAAATTCCTGCAAGGGGAACCACAACATACGCTTCGAGCACTGTTTGGCGAAAGCCTCAGATATCGACTGAAGGCTCAAGAAATAGATGTGTAAGAGAGCCTTTTTCCTGTTCGGCCGAGTGGCAATGTGCCTTGAAGTTCCTCTACGGGGCTCAGATAACAAGCAACAGAAGCCCTGCTGATCTAAAACATGATTGGTTGCCATGGCGGTGACCTGTTCATCTGATACTGCAGTGGTTACCCCGATGGAGGGGATAATTAGACACTCTTTTTTTTTTTTTTTTTTTTTTTTTAATGTCAGTACCATCAGCCCCTAGGGAGAATCAGCAATGACAAGGGCCCCTTATTAAGGGGAACAGCATATTCGTAAATTTGTCTCTTATGCTTGTCAACTTTCCTGAGTCACAGTGGCCATGGCCCATCGGGTTGGCATGTACTAAAGCTTTCTTGGTCGTCCGCCCCTAACGAACCCATTTCTTTCTGGGAAAGGCCTGGTCTTGTGTGGGAGGTTTTCCTGATCACCGTGTTCCCCATGGACAGGGTGTTCGTCCGAGGGAATTGCAATCCCGTCATTTGATCGAGCCCTCTTACTCGGATTTTGAATGACCAGCTCTTCAAATATGAGTTGCCCTTCCTCCGAGGCGCAAATAGATTTGGGACTGAGAACCGCAAATAATCATTTTGGACCTGGACAATATCCGCTTGATCAAGGCCATCATGATTCGGGTGATGACGGATCAGTTTGTCTTCCTCATCCAGATCTTCATCTCGTCCACATGACATTGTGTCACCTTAGCTTTTTTAGCAGCAAGTTCATTAAGATCCAAAACAACTTTTTCGACAGGTCCGTTGTTCGGGGAGTCATAATTTGGATGGGGGTACCTGAAACCCCTTTCAGAAGCTCAGTCATCCCCGGTTGCACCTTTCCCTTCTTTCTTTTTAGATTTTTCATCACCAAAGATAAAGGGGGTATCAGTTGAAGCAGCCTTTTCAATAACTGGTACTGCTGGGACGCGGTTAAATAATGGCTGGGGGATAGCTGAGTCAGAATTGGTGGTTTGCACCCTCCCCTCCGATGGTTGAAACTTCCTTCCCTTTCTTCTCTCTCCACTTTCCCTTCATCTTCCAACCTCTTTTCCCTTTTCCCTTAGCCTTCTTCCTCGCTTCTTTGCCTTGAAGTTCCCCTTCCTTCATCTCCTCATCGTCTTCCTTCTGCCTGACAAACTTTCCTCGAATTCCTTTGTCTACCCCGTTCACTGTCTTCTCTGCGATGGGTAAGGGATCTTTACGACTACCGTCTTCCCCCGAACATAACGCACCCTAAAAATGAATGTATACAAGCTATGTTTCCTGCCAGATACAGGCAAGATAAGGGTGCGTTGTGTTCGGGGGAAGACGGTAGTCGAATCTGACTTTGACTTTTGCGGCCCATCTGTTCCCACCAGGACTATCCTCTTTTGCGTCTTCTCTAATTCCGGCTTATGTGCCTCGATGTCCCTCCCTCCTCTTTTCTCCTTCATCATGATGTTGTTTTTCCCTATGCCTGCATCATCCTTCTCGTCTTTCTTCCCCTCCTCTCTTTCACTGTTATCCTTGTCCACGTCCACCTTCTCCTTCTCTCCCCCTTTGTCTTTCCGTTCTCTGTTACAGTACCCTTTCCCGCTTTCTGTTCTTTGACGGGCACGTGTCATCCGTTTCCTTATGAAAGTGACTCCTACATGTTGGGCACCAAGGAGTGGCTGCGCACGTGACGCTAATCCCATTCGGCAAAGCTCCCGTAGATTGATTATCAACCGTTTTTTATATTTGAGCTTGGCCGAGGGGATCAAATCAAAACGAATATCTCGTACGTCCGGGGTTAGAGGATTTTTGTACGTGGGGTGTTCCTTACGAACAACCCCGAACGCATCTTCGACTGCTCCTCCCAAAGGCCCCAAAGCAGAAACTGGGACCTCTAAGCATCTGACCCAAAAATACTTTTGTTTCATTGCTTCACGCCACTCGGATAGTAGTTGCTTTTCCGACATCCAAGATTCCAAGTTCGAAATGTAATCCTGCATAATTTATCATCTAACTCAATCTTATCCTCCTTTCCGAGCATCCACGTCGCAATTTGCTTCCACGATGCCACGTAAGTAATCAAGTTTCTTCCCTCATTACGGAACAAACCACGTTTGGGGGGGGCACCGGTAAGACCGGAGTTTGCCCATCCGTTTTTGTATATCCGCCGATTCCGCACAATTATGTTTTTCACGTTCGGAGGGAGGGAAGCAGTCTCGTCGTCAAAGAATATTGAAACCGCGTGTTCAGTAAGCCACTTGGCTTGTATACGGGCAAGATCTGGGTTGACTTCGACTTCAATGAAGTCCTCCAAGGATCTCGTTACCCGACCAGGAGCCAAGCGGGGTGGGAGGATACCATCGATAAAGCAAGCATCCAGGAAGTCAGGAATTCTTGCTTTGTCATCCTCAGATGGAGGTGATGCAATTAGGGCAATCATGCCCGACTGTGGGGGTCCCGAAAGCATTGGAGACGTCATGGGAAACAAATCGAAAGCTATGTGACACTCGCGGCCTAGGCTGGGGGCAATTCGGCCGCCGCGGCCGAAAAAGTCGGCCGCAGCAGCGGCCGCCAGGCCCAGTTTGCGGCCCGTCTTTGGGGGAAGACGGAAGCTAGAACTGCACGCGAGCAGAAAACGTGAGATTTCAGGACAACGTAGAAAAGGGAAAGAATAGGTAGAACTGTGCGCGAGCAGAAAACGTGAGATTTCAGGACAATGTTGGAAACGGAAAGAAAAATCCATGAAGGAAACTTGAAGAAGGAGAAGGGCCGGAGACTAAGGTGGGGCCTTCATCTATTTCTTTTTTTTCCTTGTTTCTTTTTCGGGAGGGGTGCATCTATTCCGAGACGTGGTCATGTGTGCACATTGAAAAACAAATTCGATTTTATTCAAAAACTTGAATAAGCAGGTGAAGGTGCAGAAAGAAGAAATCTGAACAACAAAATTTCGGCAGACAAAGAAAGAGAGCACACATCCTTTTTTTTTTCTTTTTTTTTTACAACAACCCGAGTTAATGCTAGGGGTGCTGATATGAGCGGACACAACTACTGTAGCACCCCGGGGGAGCCTCCATCTATTGGTAGGGAGGCTAAGGAGCACCACGCATCCTACCAGCACCCCGGGGGCGTGGTCCCACTAGCAAAGAGGATAGGATAGAATGCCTGAATGTGGACGTAATTGTGGAGAGGTGCAGGAAATCGAGATTGAACTTCTTTTCTGCACCTCTCCATAAAACACATCCAGATTCAGGAGCTTGATCTTATCCTCTTTGCTAGTGGGAGCTCGGCCGGGGGGAGGCTCCATCTATCCTGCACACACAAATATATATTTTTTTAATTTCTTTTTTCTTATCCACACACAAAAAGAAATGAAGAGCAGAGGCTCCAAGCTGCCGGCTTCCCAGCGTTGTTGAATTAAATTGTTAATAAACTTAGGGCATACTGACAAAGGCAATTTCCGAAATTCATCTGACAGCAATTTCGGCCAGACGTGGACGAACCTAACCGCAATTACGGCCAAAGCGTTAAGGAGAAAGTCCTAGTGGGAGTATGGGCCTCGTTAGACACTCCTTGGGGACGTGAAATCCACAAGGACGCGCTCGTTCCACCTGTCCTTGGGGACGAAATTGAAAAAGAAATGTGAAAACGCCACAAGGAAAATTCCTTGTGGCATCCTTGTGGCCCCAGCCATTTCTTCCTTGTGCCCAAGGGACCTCGTGAGGTCCCTTGGACACAAGGAATCCGCGTTTCATGGAGAGGAGAGGGCACACGGGTAGATAGACATTACAACTGAGAATCTGGATCGTGGCGGCACCCTATTGGCTGAAGGCCTGAAGCACAACTGTTTTTTTTTTCTTTTTTCCTTTTTTTTCCTGACATCAGGCTTAGGAAATGTCCTCAGGCGACCTCCCCGAGGACAGGTGGAACGAAGAGCCCAAATTCCCTTACGAGCCACAAGGAAAATTCCTTGTGGCTCAAGGAACTCGTAAGGAGTGTCTAACGAGGCCCTATGCCCTTAGACGTGCGTTCCCTTCCAACTGCTGGACTTTGCAGACTGAGAAGAGAGGTCAAAAAAAAAAAGAAAAAAAAAGTCAATCTTATAGCTCATGAGTGTCCACCCTGGATAGATATGGTCTGGAGCTAAGAGGTGGACCCCAGTCACCCCACTGCTTTGCGGCAAAGCTTTGGAAGACTATCTGTTGTGAGACCCCACTGCTTTGCCGCAAAGCTTCCGAAAACGCTGACAAATGACGCGGCAAGCGTTTCCACTCAGTTTGGTTTTTCCCGGTCCTGAGGGGGCTAGGGGGGGGGGGCACAGGGTTTTGCCCGTTCCTGAGGGGGNTACAGAGAGAAGAAGAAGAAGAAAGATCTATGGTGCTTTCGATCTTGAGGGCTCAGCAAAGTTTTTTTTTTTTTTTTTTTTTTTTTTTTTTCCCCCCCTTGCTTGCGAGCGTTCAGCCCACCGACAGACGGCGACAGTCAGTAACTGAACGTTCCATCAGACACTCGCCGGCGAGATTGAATGTCGAAGATGATGCCATCAAGGATGTCAGAGTCAGACGCGAGCCACGTGTTGGTGCCTAAGGCTTCCATCAGTGCGAGGACGATGACACACCCGGCGACAATGACGGTTTCACGACCTTTGGGCAGGCCGGGGAGTCCGACGCGATCAGCGGCTGGGATCCCTTTCACTATATCCAAAATGCGATGCACAGATCGGCGAGTGAGCTTTGGCAGCTGACCACTTGGACGGTGATGACCGGCCGCCATCTTCATGGCCATGGAGACGAGAGTGCGGGCGGCGTCGGGAACGCAAACGACGGTGCGCGCATGTGCGAGAACAGGTTGTCGTCTGATGGCCTGTCGAAAGGCATGGAGAGCTGCTAGGTGGCATGCACGCAGCTCCTCTGCAATCGGAGGATCACTCTTTAAGAACCGCTCCGTTAATCGAACTACGCCAACCTCCACGGAATCGATCGCCGTAGGTCCCACAGGAACTGCCAGGTGGCATGCACGCAGCTCCTCCGTTATGCCCGAGGAGGGCTTGGGATAGCTGCCATTGCAATTGGACCAGCGATTTGATCGTGGAACAACAAGCTGCCCTCGGACATAACATGGACCAGTGGCAGCAGCAGGAGGAACAACAAGCTCGAGGGGCCGTCCGATCGCCTCCAATTGAGATGATGCGGACCATCTGACGGCGACGGTAGGACGTGGACGTCCGTCCTGGACCTTCTTCCCGACTGACTGTCCAGTCTGACAGTCGTACCTGGATTCCCATGATCCTGCAGCATCCTGACCTGCAGGATCACGGTCTGCACCTGGTCCAAATGCAAGCTCAGTGGAACAACCGCCGATGTCGACGACAAGGAAAGAACCCGTGCCGGGATCCAGACGAGAGATGGCTCGCAGGAAGGAGAGGCGTGCCTCTTCTTCGCCGCTGATGACATTGGGTCGGAAACCCCTGAGGGCCCCCTGCGCGGCTGAGAGAAAGGAGTCGCAGTTCTTTACGCTGCGGGCTGCGGCTGTTGCAACCGCGTGCATGCGCATTCGCAAACGGGGCTGCTGAACACCGTTGATCATCGGGGGGGCGAGGACGGTCGTGTCCAGGAAGGAGCGATACTCTCGCAGTACGTCCACGGTCCTCTGTTGAGCATCGATCGTCAACTCGGTGCCTCCGTCCGCCAGGCCTTCCCCAAAACCCGTAAATCGTGACATCCTGACGCACTCCTTAACCAACCTCCCATTTTCAATTACCGGGCAAACAGAAGCCGAGTACAGCTCGAACCACAGTCAACAGCAGCCAGGATCTCACGAACTGGAACGCCAATCCCACTCAGGGCGGGAGCTGCAGTTGCCGCCATAGATCTCTCTCTCTCTCTCTCTCTCTCTCTCTCTCTCTCTCTCCTGTCTCTTATACACATCTAGATGTGTATAAGAGACAGGGTTTGCGCATAGCATGTGGAACGGAGAGCCAGGGATTGGAAGAGCACCCAGACAAGCGGATGTGAAGTTTCTGTATAGGGAAAGTCTTCCCTATCAGGTAACACCAGCAAGGATGGTCTGTCGACGGACCTGCCGAAAATTTGTGCTGCAGTGGGGTTCGCTTTTCTGTTTCCCATCGCCGGGGCCTCCGATTTGGATTTGGGTTTGGCGGAAGCTTTCTGCCAGGCAGTGGGGTCCAGCTCTTAGTCCAGATGCATCCAGAGGGGGGGACATTTGATTTTTTTGAAGGAAATTTTAAAAAACAACTTTTTTGGGCCAAAAAGTGTCAAATTCTCTTGGTCCTGAGTGTCCCCCCCCCCCCACCCCTCTTCCCGGATGTATATGCATTGGACAATTTGGACTCGAGGTAAGTCCAGATGCATCTAGACTCTAGAGGTTTTAAATCCGGAGCCGCAGGAGCCAAAAGAATGGACATTTTTTGGGCCTGAAAAGTGGTTTTTTTTTTTTTTTTTTTTTTTTTTTTAATAGAAATAGCATAGTTTCATTATAAAGGCAAAGGAGGCCGGGAATCCCTCCACATCTCAACCTGGACAGAGGAACCAAGCCTCAGAGAGGCTAACTGGAAACGGGGTCCAGTGTCCCATGCTCCTATCAACAGTCTTGCCATTTCTGAAGAAAGGAGAAAAATAGGCAATTGAAATCTACCAAAAGACACAAAAGGGACGAGCTATCTCTCTATCCATGATCCTACAGACATTCATGTCCGGGATCATTACCCGGCTTCTCTTCGTGGGAGTCTATCTGCGACTCACCAAAGTCTCCTGATAAACTTCCACTGGAAGATAGAACAACGATACCAAAGTACTCAAGCAGTCTACACTCCGGCCCTTAACTACGGGCCAATTTCCATCTGCAAGTCTGCAATGAAAAGTGGGTTTCAATTCCGTTCAAAAGAGATAAAAACGCTCATTTTGACAAAATGTCTGGGAAAAGAAAATGACTCAAAACTGAAAACAAATTAACTTTAATGAGCTTTAAAAAAAAAAAGAAAAAAAAAAAAGATAGACTTCCTTCTGCACATCCGTCAAAATTGGAACGATACAGAGAAGGGTAATTAGCAAATGGCCCCTGCGCACTCAAGGATGACACGCATAAATCGAGAACATGGTCCAAATAATAATTGAAAAAAAATAAAGAAGAAGAAGATAGACCTCGGACCACCTGTCCTTTTCTTGATTCATCAGATACAAAAAAAAAACAATTTATTACTGAAGGGCCCAGTGCCCAAGGCGAAAATATACAAATCCAAAAATAACGAGGGAAAAAAATGAAAAGAGAAAAAGAACGTATCATCAACCGGGCAGGGGCGTATCCCTCCTCTACTTTGAACATCTCGATCGTTTTTACACCAAGTCACCAACCCCTCCATGACTACGGGCCCTCACTGGCAGATCAACCCCTCTAAGAGCAAGCATCTATCTACTACCGGTAGCCATTCCCCAACAAAAAGCTCGAGGAGGCGTCTATCCCAGCCGACAACAACCCAACAAAGAGCTACACACTGTACACACCTACTCACTCTCTCTCTCTCTCTCTCTCTCTCTCTCTCTCTCTCTCTCTCTCTCTCTCTCTCTCTCTCTCTCTCTCTCTCTCTCNTCTCTCTCTCTCTCTCTCTCTCTCTCTCTCTCTCTCTCTCTCTCTCTCTCTCTCTCTCTCTCTCTCTCTCTCTCTGTGTATAGATCTGCGTGTGTGTGTGTGTGTGTGTGTGTGTGTGTGTGTGTGTGTGTGTGTGTGTGTGTGTGTGTTTCCCTCGGTATGTCTTTATCTCTCTCGCTTGCTGGCTCTGAGGCTCAGTCAATGTGAGAGCCTGTAGGGTAGACACATACGCACAGAAACCTTCGATCTCCAAGCCGAACTCCTCGCTCTCTCACGTAACTACAGCCACACTCACTCTCTCAGAATAAGAGCATATCAAGGCAGAAGCATGGAGATCAAAGAGAGAGACTCAACTTCACTCGAGGACTGCTCTTGTCTTCCTCAATATGCGCTTGGAAGGATGGCGAGACAATCTTGCTCCGTATCTGCGGAGGGAGAAGGCTGATCAGTATTTATGCTATACAGATGTATGGCTTCATTATATGTGCTGCACTTTATGAAGGGACGCTGGAAGCAGGCGTTGGCCCTCACCAACAGAAAGGAGGCGGCTCAGCCATCAACCACTGGGCACCTGCTTATGGGGGCTGCTCCTAGCCTCCTACTACCCCCATCAGCAGCGTCTCCGTCACCGTGATGTTTTTTTCTCAACAAGAAAAGGGCCAAGTACTTTTTAGTCAACACCGGCGCCTCTTTGTCTTTTCTTGCCTATTTCAAACTAAAAGTGTGACACAGCCGCCACAGTTTCCTCAAAATGAAAAGTCAAAGAGACTCGAAGAGTGAGGTCGGATTAACCAGCCATCGGAGGATGGGTGTGAAAACGCTATAAGCTTGTTCGCCCACCGCATGTCTAGACTGCACGGCCACAGATCCTTCGGCCTGACCAGATGCATGATCCTGTAGGCCTATTGCCACCACCTGCAGGGGCTTAGTACGCGCCAACCGGAATACTTGGGGCAGAAACAGCCCAGTAGGTTTTGGGGCGTGATCTACCTATATTTTGCACCCGGTAGGCCAGTTGGGCCTGAGGCGAGGATGAAAGAACGGAACTAAGTAAGGGCTGGACCCTACAGGCCTGCGATAGCTTTGCTCTACCCTGGAAAGCATCTGCCAGCACAAATTGTAGCAGCCGGGAATGGCCAAGAGAAAAGCCTGAAAACTTGTGAATAGGGACTCCACTGCCACTGCAGATTCTTTTTGTAAAAAAGGCTAATTCTTTAAGCCCAACCAATTCAATTACCTGTCAAATCTGGACAGGACGGCCTTTGAGGCCGTTTTTATTGTCATTATAGTATTACGGGGAACCCCCGTAGCAGCCGCATCCGTGCTCAAGCCTCCAACGAGGGAACATGCGGGAGCTGCACCCACCAGCAGGTTCTATACCTGCTACAGCAGGTGGGCGATACCGGCCAGGGGTCAGCCGGTAGCATCAGGACTGAGCTTAGCTTCTTCGATTCGATGGGCCAGTCACTGTGCCTCCCCTCAGGTGGTGGTCCCCTCCCCCTATGAACATCAGCAGTCTCTGCTCAATGCCACTCGGGGGGACCAAAGCCATCCGGGTTTAGATTACAAGATCAGTGCCCTTTCTGGGAACTGTGCCTCCTCTTTTTCAGAACAACGTCCAATCTCTGTGCCTCCTTTCCGCACCGGATGGTGAAAGCAAGAGGGGAGGCTGGGGCAGTGGGGGCTACGGTGCTTTTAAAACTTTTTTCGCACAGTATTTCGGAAATTGGAGTGGCACCGAGGGATTTCCCATATGTGGAAACGTCCTCCCAAGGTCTTCCAGGCGTCTCCCTACTGCCTGTGTGGGGGGTCTGAATAGAAACCTCGGCGGCAATCCATGTGCTTTTCCGCACGCCTGTGGGGTCCAGACCTTATTCTGTTCAATCTGTTGGGTAGACCACACAACCTGCCGGTTGGGGGCAAACAAATCTACCACGCTTTCCTTCCATATACACGCTCGATTGCAAATTACACGGGAGGGGCGTGTCAATGATCAATCCCCTCTGACACGTGAGGGCGATCAACGCTGTCCTCTCCACATTGGGGTACAGCTATATATATATATATATATTCTATTTGACGATATATATATATATATATATATATATATATAACGATATATATATATATATATATATAACGATATATATATATATATATATATATATATATATATATCACCTCACACATTTTAACTGGAGGCCAATTTTGTACCACAAATGTAAAAGGGATGCTGGTGTCAGAGGGCAATCAATGCAGGCCCCAAGCGTGGATGTAGAGACGCTGGAAAAAAAAGGAGATGCTGGGTCCGGTCCCTGATACGTGTCGCTCCCCACGAATAAGATCGGAGGCACGTGTTGCTCCCCACGAATAAGACCGGAACTACAACAAGCACGGACCTCTGGGCAGGGGCCCTGAGACATGTGCTCTTATCCCTGCCTGACTGTTGGCCGTGAAGTTTGGTGTTTAAAATTTAAGCAAAAATAAAGAAGCCCAATGAACAATGTTTCTACTTGAAAGCACACCAGGTCCTGAGGACCATTGCACAAACGAATGAGCAAGGGGCTCGATACGCAAGACTTGAAAATACTTGAGTTTCAAGTGCACACTAAACAAGAAATTGTGATTAATTTACACATACTCCATTTATGGTTCCGTGTAGACTTGAGGAAACCCTTGAACAGGCTGCACTTGAAACTGAACTCCACAGCTTGACCAATCTTGGACCAGGATCGCCTGCTGGGAAAAAAGAAAAACAAAAAGAAGGCCCCACCCGGAGTGCTGGCGGTATCCGCTGGCACTTGAACTCCGGGAGGTGACTTGAATTCAAGGGCAATTTTGGCTATGCCGCCCTTGAGTTTCCAGGGCGCACCGTTGGGACGCAAAAAAGTGAAAACAAAGCGGATAGCTCTAATTTCTAAGGGGGGGGGTGGAAAGATGATTTTTCGTTTTGCTCTTGAACTCAAGTGGTGTGGAACGAGCCTAACTAGGCCCTAAGCCCGTTGATGTAGAATCAGTAGAATCTTTTCTAATGTAGATTCATTGTAGCAAGACTTGTGGAGTAGAAGGGGGGCAGAAAAAAAAACGAACCATTGGAGGAGTGCATCCTTGCAGTTCTCCCCAGCCACAATGCAGCACTTCGCCCTCCATTCACCGAATCACCCAGTACTC